TTATTCAATTTCTAGAGCCCAGGTAGAGTAGATTTAGTGTAAATGAGCATCGGCTTCACCATAACGTAACCAGCTGCATTAAGCCCTAACAAGAATGTCAGCATGTCTTTTGAAGCTTTGAAGTCAGGCATTAACTTTTCCTCTCTTGCTATCAGTGTTCTAGATGGCATCTCATCCGATATAAGGCTGTTTCATCTACACTGAAAATCTGTTGTTTATTGTAGCCACCCTCATTAATTCTCTTAGCTAGATCTTCTGGATAACTTGTTGCAACTTCTACTTAAACACTTACTATTTCATCTTGCATTTTATATTATGGAGATAGTTTTTTTTCCTTAACTCTCACGGACCAACCTCTATCAGCTTTAAACTTCTACAGCCTCCTCACCTCTCTTAGGTTTCACAGATTGAAGAGAGTTAGGGCCTTCCTCCAGATTAGGTTCTGGTTTAAGGGAATGTTGTGGCTGGTTTGATCTTCTATTCAGACCACTAAAAGTTTCGCCATATCAATAATAAAGCTGTTTTGCTTTCTTCTCATTTGTATGTTCAGTGGGTTATCATTTTAAATGTTTTTCACAAACTTTTCCTTTGCATTCACAACTTGATTAACTGTTTGGTGTAAGCAGACTAGTTTTTGGCCTATCTCAGTTTTTAGCATGTCTTCCTCACTAAGTGTGAGCATTTTTAACTTTTGATTTAAAGTGAGAGGCATGCAACTCTTCCTATCACTTGAAAACTTAGAGGCCATTATAGGGAATGGTCCTAATTTCCACTTGAAAAAAAATGGACATATATAATATGTACATGTACATTTAGAGAGACTGAAAATTTACGAAGTTCCTTTAGAGTGCTATATTACCTACATATGGATATTTTATGTATATGTTCCTATAATATCACAATCTGAAGTTCAAACCTTTCAACTACTATCAAAGGCTGAAAATTAGAATGAAATCAACCAGGTGAATCATTTTAAACCACCATGAAAAAAAGAGAATTGGCTTGTGAAACCAAAGACTTTCTAAAATTGTTCAATTTTACAGTAGGAAGCAGGTAGGAGTCGTTATATTTCTAATTCCAGATACATTCCACTGGGAAATGACTTAACTTTGAGAAGGTAAATGTTTTGCTATGTCTTTTAGGAAAGAAATGATGCTGAGGCTGGATTTACAATAAAAGCCAAGCAGCACTTCTTGTCTTACAATATCAAAAGGAAGGGTGAGACTTTTTATGTAGGTTAATTATTGATAGTTTCTTCAGCAAGGTTAAAAGAACAAAATGTTGCTCAAAATGAAGCCATACTCTTCTGAATATTGGCAAAACAGCACAGATACAGTGAGTAAACTTCTTAAAGTTCTTGTGACTGTGTACAGTGTGTGAAATTAGTTAACCTCAGTAAATTTTTATTTGTATAACTTGTGAATTAGAACAATACATGTCCATATGATTTTACATAATTTTTTATTTTTCATAGTTTTAAAAAATTTTTGACAGGAAATATTTCTAACTCTTAAGTGGGTATTAAATCTCTATAAAGCAAATTTTGATTTGATGATGGTAAATTGTAAAAATTTGGCCACAGGAGGAAGGAAATCTTGCATCATAATCTCTTGCTGGAATCAACTGGAGTAGTTCCACCCATCCTATATCCCAGCTTCAGGCCTAGATACAACTACTCCCTTTTGTTCTTCTTTCCTGTTTTAGCAAATTTCCGGTAAAAAAACAGACAGCATTTTGTTATGAGGAATATTGCAGTTGTCACACAGGCCAGCAGGAACCCAATAACATCCAAAGAGTGGTACTGGATCCAGTTGAGGTTGTGGGCTGCAACCCTCAGGTGTTTGGCGCCTTTGTGACGCATGACAAACTCAACCCAGAAGACTGCTCGATCTAGAGGTCTCATGGGCTGATCATGATGAATCCTTGATAATTTCATAACATTCTCTTTATATCTGAAAGAGAAACATAAAGATACCAACATACAAAGGCAATTAATTTCCCTAAGCATAGCAAGTTCACAAAATGTTTTTGAAAAGTGTCATACAAGTGATAACAAGGTAAATGCATAGAATCGCTGTAGAATTCATACATTTTTATATGGGCCTTCATAGACATTTGGCTTTTTCTCAAAAATGACAGTTGTTATTTTCTCATTGACAAATATTTTTTAAAGTAAAAATGACAGGTCAGATGGGAAAGTTAATTCCTGTCTAGCAAAGGAAATATTATGAGACATTCTAAATGCTATAAGTGAGATAGTGGAAATGCAATTTGAGAATGATGATCACCTTGATGTTTTTAACGGTAATTGTGTCGTGGTCGGTGAAATACATCCTAACCAGTCTCTCTGTTTCTACTCTTCCTTTCTATCGTCTACTAATTTTCACTCAGTAGCCACAATATCTTTTTTTAAACAAATGTCAGACTATGACATTTTCTTGTTCAAGATTTCCGTCCGGCTTCTCTTCACATTAAGAATAAAACCCAAATCTGTTCTATGAACTACAGGACTCTGCAAGGTCAGACACTGGCAACCTCTTCTCCTATCACTTTCCCCATGAACACTCTTCGAGGGACAATGGACTTCTATTATCATTCCTTGAAGCTACCAAATCTGTTCTCACCTTAGCACCTTTATACTTTTTGTCCCTTCTCTTCCTCTCTTGAATAGTTTTCCTTTCAACATCCTAAGGCTTGGCTCTATTTCTTTTTGAGGGCTCCACTTAAATGTCACCTCTCAGGAAGGCTTTTCCTGGCCACGTCAGGATAGCACCCTGAGTATTTCCTCTGCTGTTTTGTGCTTATTTTGCTATTTGATTCCTAAAAATTTTAAATACATTATATCTTCTCAAATAAACCCAATGTACATACATTAAGTAAATAACTCCAAATTACAAAATTAGTTTGAAAATTATTATGAAGTGAAGATGCCAATGTGCATACTACTCAGATC